ATCCGACTTAACGTCACCCATCACCTGCTGTGTATAGATGGCAGACCGGGGTGGCGGCGTCCCCTTGAGGAAGATTGAGCGCCTGTTCAGCTACATGTACACCACAGCTCCCAGCCCCGTCACTGGCAATGCCCGCAACGCTCCACTGGTGAGGAACCCCAACCACATCATGTGACCACATCATGTGACCTAATTCAGAACCTCAAAGCTGACTAGAAAAAGTCCTGCTGCCTCTGTAATCATCTAACCGCCTGTCGATTTTGTCTGTCGTTCAGGCTGGCTTCGGTTACGGGCTTCCGATTTCCCGCCTTTATGCTAAGTATTTCCAAGGGGACCTGCAGCTGTACTCTATGGAAGGATACGGAACGTCGGCAGTTATTTACCTTAAGGTAAGTGAGACCGGAACGCAGTGGGTGTATCAGGCCACGGACTGGAGGTCAATAGAAGGTCAGGCTTACTTTGTAAAAATCACATAGACGACAGTACTGTCTGGACCACGTCTTTATTAATTCCCCGCTCATTCGCAGGCCTTGTCCTCGGAGTCTGTAGAGAGGCTGCCAGTTTTCAACAAGTCAGCCCTCAGGCATTACCAGACGAGCACAGAGGCCGACGACTGGTGCATTCCCAGCAGCGAGCCCAAGAAACTGGGGAAGTTCGAGTACAGCGTGTAGGACTGTGAGGCGGTTGCATGCGCAGCGGTACGGCGGCTACGCTAGCGAGTCGACTGCATTATGGGTAACGGGGGCGGGGGGAGCAAACGGCGGCCGCTGGATTGCCACGGTGTGGCTCACGCTTTCTGTGATTAGCAGCTCGTTCGGCTGGTGCAGAAATTTCAGAATTTATTTATAATGCCGAGTTTTGTGAATTTCTGAGGGGGCATTTCATTTTGCATTTCATAGCGATGGCTAAGCTGGATGAGGGTGCAGTTTTGTGGTCACGGAGTATTAAAGGCCAAGCTTGATTTTATTTTGTTCCTGAGAAGAGCGCCTTTTCAGTTTAATGAAATAATGTTTTTATTTTGGAATATGCCCTCCGTTCAGTTGACGGTATAGTGTCCGTCCTGAGCAGAGACCTTAGTGCAACCTGTAAACATAAGGAATGATCCTTAGATCTTGTTTGCCCCTTGCTAAATATCTCAGAGCGGCCATTGTGATCGGCCCCCAAATCCTTAACCCGTTGGCCATTTCAAACTAAACATACTTTATGTATGTTACCTTGGCAGCTAGACATTTTTTCTTTTTGTCAATCTTAAGGTTAATGAAATATCGGTAAAATGAATACAAATCACATATAAGCTACTATCAGAAACAGATGTTTGTAGGGCGTTTTACCTCACCCACCTTAGACATTTCATTTCACAGCTTTGCTGTACTTTGTCCTGAGTTTGGCTTGGAGTTTTAACCCACAATAAGTTTTAACACTGAAGTTTGGGACACAAAACGAACTGACCACTCGTTTATATTGACTTTGCAGCCTTGATTTTTTGCTCTATGCAGTTTAAATACTAGTAGTGTTTTTGAGATGTTATTAGGCAAGAATGTACCAGGGAACCATTAAAGTTCTGCAGAAAAAGTGTCCATTTATTTTAAAAGTGACCGAGATGTGGACATAATGAATGTGAGGTACATTGTGTGTGTGTACAAATCCACACCATTCTCATCTCGCTTTAGGTGTCTAGTTTTTAAGTTTTGCGATGATTGTGCAGCTGGGTTGCCCGTTCACGTTATTGTAAACACAAAGCTTTTCATAAAGTTCCGTGTAAATGAAACAGAGTATGAAATATTCAGCTCGAGTCATCCTCCACCCTCTAAAAAATTATGGTTTTGTTCTTTTGCTTTTTCATATATTGCAGTTTTTTTTAAAACTTCATATCCTGTCATAACTTGATATTTTTTTAATCTTGTACTTAATCTTCCCAGTTACTATGTGTACAGCATATCCTGTACAGGCCTCCAGTATAAATAGTATTATGAATAGTAACTATTAGTATTTTATCCCACCATACCGGCTGCTGTAAGTCGGATAGAATCACAGCATCACTGCTTAGGGAGAGACATGCTACTTGACCTCTTTTTGACAGTGAAAGAATGAGCTTGGCAGGCGTCTGCGGGGGAGGTGTGTGTACCCACAATCCTCTGCTTTGTAACCATGATGGAACGCGGTTGTGCCATCACAGGAATACAGTGCTTACCCACCCACCCTAACGCTACACCAATCTTAAATTCCAAGAGCAGTTTAGCAGTTTAAAAATCCGTGGTGTTTAACCTCGTTTGAGCAATTTTTGTGTGCCGGATTGAGGACTCTGGACGCGGTGGGGGGTATGTGCACTGCTTTTCTGTGGCTGGTCGTGCCCACACCTCCGTAGGGTGTCGGCAACATGTCAGGTCCTCATGAGTGCCATGTGAGTTCGTGTATACCTGACCTCAGGGCCGGGCCGGTCGGATGGACCGAAATAAACTCCCTGGTGTTTTACTTGGGGGTGGATAAATGAAGCGATGCAAAGACGAAATGTTTTTCGGCTGATTTTTATCGAACGTGCTCCTTGTTCAGCGCGATGGGACGCAATCATTAGCTTTCATATGTGTCGCGTGTTACCCTGCCTTACTAACGTTGTTGTCAAACAAATGTGTTGGTTCTTATCTCTACTGGTGTTCCTGATGATTCCACAATGCCAATAAACAAGTGCTACCATTACCTTGAACGACCTTTCCTGAACCTTCCGAATGGACCCTTTGGAACGTCTGTCTGGAGTATTGCGCTAACGTCCCTTCCGACACCCGTGGCCGGAAATGCCCCCCCAGTAATCCTTGACCATTCTCTTCCACACTGAAGTCAGAGGATGATAATTCTGTCACAACACCTTTGTCTCACGCTTTGATACGCTCAGCAATAATCGCCACGTCCAGTCATTTCATTGGTCCCTAACCAAACTTGCATGACTGCACATTTTACTGAGTTTTTATCAGATGGTCGAAGCTGTGTAGAGTTCATTTGAGAGAGGCGGGGTGACGAGTGTATTTTATTTTTTTGTTGCGGTGAGATGAAGAATCGCATTGGTGCGTCGGCCAAGTAGCCTTGTCCTTTGTTAGCCAATGTTTTCAAAGTTCTGTCCTTGCTAACTTGTGAAGGAGTCGCCTTTGAAGAAGTCATCAAGAATATATGGAAAATAAAGCAATTGCACAAAGAATGCTTGGTCTGTGTGTGTTTTTTTTGCCCCATCGTGACCCAAAGTATAAGACGCAGAAATTTGTGATTCTGCATAATAAATAAGTCAACCATTAACTTTTTCCACCTGGTCCCATGGGAGCTCTGTGATACTGTAACTCGTTAACTCCACGGTTGATAAATCCTAAGCTGGTTTTTCCACCACATCAACCACCGTTATCAAAGCATATAAGAAAAATATTTACACATGCTGTTAAAATAGTAGCACCTGGCACTGGTCCAGAGGGCCAATGGTCGATGGGGTCAGCAGGAGGTCCCGTGGACTTAGAACCCGAACCGCTCCCGGTCACTGGAGCTGGAACTGCAACTGGAACCTTCCTACAGTGACTGTTATGAGTTACAGTGTTACAATGTCATTCAATTACCAAAAACGGTGTCCCGTGTTTTGTTTGCCACTGAGACACAAGCCTGAAAGAAACAGAACTGCCCCATTATGGCGCTTCCTGTCTTTCCCACTACCCCCCCCCCCCGCTTGTTTTGAACCCCCAGTGCTGTGTTCCTGGCTCCACTCCAGGGATTATTCCTGGACGACTGCCACGCTCCGAACAGCCTGTTCTGTTTTAACTCTCCTGATATTGTTCTGGCCTTTCTGACGGCGCGGGGGCCTGGTGACTGACACCAGTGGTGCCTTATAGGGCGCTATATTTATTGCCTTCCAGCTCGCCCCCCCCCCCCCCCCCCACCCTGCACGGGGTGTGGCAGTTGTGCTTTGCCAGAACGCACCATCTCATCTCATACTGTCTGAGCGGGATTAAATGTAATATTTATTTAATAGGACCTTCTGGAGGGGGAGGGGGGCATGTGTCTGGGTTATTTTCCAGATCCTACGTGACGCACGTGCCCCCCCTCCCTCGGTGTATGCATGGGCACCCCCATGATTCACACGCTGTGCATAAGTCCCACATCAGTAGCAAACAAGGCTTTGTGGGCAGGTGGACAAATGGTTCCCAAAGGCATAATGTTTTCTGTCAGCATGATTGGTAGACTTTGGCATTGGCATCACGCACCGTAACAGGGGGGGGGCACCTGGCTTTAAAGGGACCTTCTGCCCAGTCAGAGCCAGCCTGTCGGAAACCGTCACAGCAGGATGAAAAGGCTCAATCGCCGTGAGTTGGCGTCCGGTTATGGGGCTGACGTGACAAGTATCCCTATGTACTAATCCCTAAACAAATGGGGCTCACACATGCATAACTGGCCTTAATTAATTGATCATACTTTGTCATTTCTTACGCCCAAATTTCGAAACAAAAAAATGCATGTTGACGGTAAGTTACTAAACAAGAGCAGGTGCAGGGCTGCTGTGATTTAACTCTGTCTCAGCAGAACAATAGGGGAATGTAACCCACAGATTGCTCATTATAATTATTCCACCTCATGATATTGTTTGTTGGTACCCGTGTATTTTACACTGCTCTGACCTCATAAAGGCTCTGCCTTTTGCCGGGCCACCATTGCAAATAAGAAATCGTCAATGGGTTCCCAAAATAACCCTCCATTATCAGACAATAACTACAACATATGACAATTATTTATCTGTCTTCTAAGCACTTTCCTAGACCAGGGTCACCTGGGAACATCCGGGAGAGTGTACTGATCTGTCACTGGGCACACGCAAACATTCACGCACACACACGCCTGAGGTCTGATACTGACCCCACACATACCCAGATTAGCTATCTATATCTGTGCAGGGACTCTCCATAGGCATAAGCCTAATCCCAACTATGATAACCCCCTACCCAGCCCTAACCTTAACCATAAGTGACCAAACAAAATACAAGACACTTCACATTTTTACTTTTTTGATTTCACAGATTTTTATAAAACTGAGTTTCCCTTTATGGGGACTGAAAAAAGGTCACTAACAGGTTTTTAACTATATTGCGGAGCCATTTGGTCCCCATAATGTAATACATACAGTACATATACAGTACGTGTGTATGGGTGTGATATATACACCCATACACATATACATTACGGGCAATTTAGAGAAGCCAATTCATCAAACTGCATGTCTTTGGACTGTGATTCAAATGATTCAAATTCCCAACCCTGGGGGTGTCGGGCAACAAGGGGGATGCAAATGGGATGGAAACCCTGAAACATTCAGGAGGTCCAGATGTGGGCGGCCCCCAGGACGGCCCCCAGGACCACGCCAGCTGTTTGAACAAGGGGACCCAGAACTTCCAGTCTTGCCCCTGGAGACCATAGCGCTGCCTGCTGAGCCACATTTGTGCATAACATTACATTTAATATTATATATACATAGCTATAATATATCATAAAAACAACAACAAAGGTCTAGGAAGGAGGTTTTCCCTCTTCGGACATCCCGGGTATTTCACAATACTAGCTACTTGCAATTAATTAATTAATTCCTTCTCCAGTAACATCCTGATTTGATGTAATATTTCGTCATTAGTTATTATTGTGTTTCATCGGACATGCCTCCCTGAGCAAATGAAATGTGTTTTTTAAGTGATCTACACCTCAGTCATTTTTCAGGTCACCGTGGGAAAGGTCTTAGTGCACCCGCACGTTTAATCTACTTTCATGGAAAATCCAGCACAAGAAAAATAATACGCTGAGGATGAAGATGCATCATTGTGCAGCCAGTTAACGACCTTCTTACATCTAAGTACCGTAGGTCACTGGGCAGGACGTGTCACTGCAGCCGCCCTCTCGAACACTTCCTTAATCACTTTTTAGTTATTTTAGGTTTGGCTATAAGCGGTGAGCCATTTCCTTTTCCATATCACACTTCATCGGGGACCCACTGTCCGAATCTCGTCATTCACATAACTCTTCAGCTATCCCAGGGCAACAGCAAATTGTGCTTAGGTATAGCCATTTTGAAATGTTGCTTGTTGGTTTGTTTTTTGATGGGTATGTTCGAGACAGGCCCCTGGGGAATGCTGGGTAATCAGTAAATGATGCCCTCTGGAACTAGCAGCAGGTACCTCTGCATGGACAACGGCACGGGCAGGCTCCAGACCCCGGCGTGGCATCGGCTGCCCAGTTGGGCTCGGATGGCACACCTGGCCAGGTGCATCAGCGTGCGTGGTCTGTCACTGCACACCGCGAACAGCGAGTCGTAGAAGTCCTGGTGTCGCTGCAAGGGCAGAACAAGGCAGATGATATTATTATTATTATTATTATTATTATTATTATTATTTATTACTTTAAGGGGCCCAAACTACGTAGCTTTGGGATCCCTGTTGTTTTTCTACTGATTATTTATTATCATTTTATTATTATTTACATCTGAACAAGCGAGATTATTTCTAGAAGACCTTGTAGATGTCGTCGGGAATGGCAGTCTTCCATTTTCTTGTGGACTTGATATGCTCGTATGAGTTGACCATTACCTCCACCACTCTGGGGTACTCGTGACAGGACTGCAACACCTGTGAGGAGCTCACCATGAGTATATATATATATTTTTAATATGTCACTGACCCTGATGAATACCTTGAGAAGTGGTCAGTATGCAAAACACAAGGATTTGGATGTGGCAGCATGCAGGCAGTGTGCCGGCTGTTCTCCCGGATGCTCCGGCACGTACGCGGGCGCCGGTGGGCGAGGCGGGCAGGGCGGAGCACCTTGTGGAACTGGGGGGGGTATATTCTCGCGGCACCATGGTTGAGCAGCAGCTGGATGCAGAGCTCGGGGACTCCCCCGGGCCTCACTGAGGTCACCTTCAACAAGTACTGGATGGGTGAGCAGCCGTTGATGTCCATGATGCGGGCGTTGGCACCAGCCTCCAGCAGCATGCGCGTCAGCACGTGGTCGCAGTTCCACGCAGCCTTGTGCAGCGCCACCTTGTCGTCCACCTCTTGCGCGTTGACGTCGGCCCCGTGGTCCAGCAGTATCCGGCACACCAGGTGGTGCTGCCCACTATAAACCTGATCGCGCATGTGCAGCGCCCAGTAGGCCGCCGTGATCAGTGGCGTTTCCTTGTACACGTTGGTGCCGTTCACGTCAGCACCGTGAGTCAGGTACAGGCCCACCAGCTCAGGGATGCCGAACCGGGCCGCTGTGTGCAGGGGTCTCTCGGCCTCGCTGTTCTCGCTGCACCAGTCCACCTTAGCACCTGAACACAAGAAGCAGGGAACTACAGCTAGGAGCTACAGGGGAATGTACCCCAGACCATCAGCAGAAAGCTAGAGAACCGAAACTCAAAACAGAAAATGGTGGACTACAGATCCGTCACCCAGAACAGGAAGGGATTACAGAATCTGCCCCTAAAAAATGTTTACTACAGAACCTACACCCAGGACAGGAAGATATTAGAGAACCTGCCCTCAGGTAAACCTTAGGTTAACAGTACCACAGAAACACAACAGAAAACCATAACCTACCCCCAAAATAGAAAAGTGTAACTAGAAGAGGTTACTAGAGAATCTACTGTACAACAGAAAGAGAAGATGGGACTTCACCTGGAACAGGAAATTATTTCAGATCCTGCTCTCAAAACAGTACTACAAAACCTATCCTTAGATTAACTGTACCACAGAATCTCAGCAGAAAACTATAAAACCTGTCCTTAAAATAAAAAGCTGTGTATTACAGAACCTGTAACCAGATCAGGTACTGTAGAACCTAGCCACTTAACCCACAACAGCAACAGGAAATTGTATCACAGAAGCTACCTGTAGACAGGTAAACAGTGTACCAAAAGAGCTATCCGTAGAAAGGTAACACAACAAGCCAACCTAGAAATAATAACTATCATAGAATTTACCCAAGAATAGGAAAGAATATACACGGCATTCCGTGTGTGAGAAGCATCTAGTGTCCTGTTTCTCTGATTTCAATAGTAATGTAGAGAAAAGACAGGATATCCTGGCCAACATATGACTCTGAGACAGGAATGTCCCCTTCTGCTATTTCAGCAAGATGCATGCAATCTGCTGACAAACCCAGAAATGTTGCAGATAGAACCAGATCAGTGTGGGTCAGTAGGTTGGGCCGTCCCACCTTTCAGAATGAGCTGTTTTGCACACTCCACAGACTCCTTGGTTATGCAGCAGTGTAGCGCTGTGTGGCCGCTCAGGGAGATGCTGTTGATCCTGGCGCCGTGGCTCAGGAGCAGGGTGACGAAGTCGCCGTTGGAGACCTCGCAGGCCACGTGCAGGGGCGTCTTCCCGTTGGGTTTGCGGTTGATGGCGGCCCCTTTCTCCAGCAGTGCCAGGCCGCTGGCCAGGGAGTCGTACATCACACAAACGTGGAGACCTGTCGCCCAGGATGACTCTAGCTTGTGACCTGGCAGCCAGTAGCCTAGGAGTAATCATTTCCAAATGAAAAATAACAAGGTTAACAAGTACAAGCAATTAAAATTAATAATCATGTGGTCTAGAGGCATTTTTATTTCAATGGCAGGTGAAGTCATGCTTTACAAAGCTGACCCCACCTTTGTGTGCAGTCTGGTGGTGAGGAATTTCACACATGATCTGTATGTCAGCAAATCATGTTGCTGAAACAGTTTTGTGCCTTCAAGCAAGAAACTTAACCTCGACAACTCCTGCAACACGACCGGACTAAATGCGTATACTGCACATTTATGAGGATAAAGTGGTAATAATCAACTCAGTAATGTGTACAATGATTTTCTGCTAGCCACAGTTCTTTAGCTAAACGTAAACATACGACAGTAGTTCATTTAAAGAAGTTTAGCGCCCCACAGTGGTGGAGTATAGAATTGCTCCTACAGTAAACATAGCAAAATTTAGCCAAACCACTTTTTTTTTTCCATTTGAGTAAAGCAATGAACAAACCCACAAATGAACATCCAATACTGTAAATAGACATGCTACTAAGACACAACACACCTTCTGAGTGAGAAAACATCAACCCAGACGCTCCTGATTTGTGTTTCACACCTGCTGTAGAGTGTCCATGGGATGGTCTGCTGCTGTACCTTGTTTGTAGGAAGCCAGGGTCATACTCCGATCCTCCACGTCAAACACGGTGTCTATGTCGATGTTGGTACTGTGCAGGATCCTCTGCACCTCGTCCACGTCGTCACACTGCAGGGCCTGCAGGAATCGGGCCTTGAGCTTTCGCTCTGCCTCCTCTCGGGAGACGGGCTTGGTCATTTGCACTCTTTCTTGCCCCTGAGGGCATGTGGCAGCGTTCTCAGGGCACGCGTGTGAATCCTCTCCTTCGGCTGGGGCACATGCAAGAGCTTACCAGGATGGCGGGTAACATGATCACTGGAGAGTCTGACAGACTGGCTATTTATAGAGAATGAGGCCGGGGTAAGGCACGTCTGACAGAAGGTTAGTGAGATTCTGTATCCTAGGGTTGACATTATACCAAAATCACACACATACAGGGGCTACGACCAACCAGGAAATGCAGTCAAATCGGCAGTTCAGTTCAGCACCTTTGTAAATGCACTGAACATTTACCTTTACGCACTGTGCTTCTTGGGAAAAGCTCCCAGCTCACTGTAACTTTGCACTGGAGAAGCAGAAATGGAAAATGTATGGATAAACCAAAGTTCCTTCACAGCTCTCAGGACGTACTGAGCAGAGAAAAATTATATAATGCGGCGAAACTGATGTATGTCTCACTGGAAACAGAACAGAAAGCGAGACGATGGGAAAATAACAGCTGAAGGGGAAATGAAACTTGGTTTCGTGAAATCCCACTGGTACGAGAAGGATGCGGAAGCCGTTCCTGCTGAGTGTTCATATGACTGATGACTGGTTCAACACAAAGTGATGAAAGGCATCAGATTAAACAGTGCACCCCAGATTGATTGGGCACCAAAGCCATCCCTGCAGCACTATCAAAATAGATACTAATGACTTATTGAGTATAGACTATAAATGTTAATTTAGCCAGGTTGTGTATGAGCTTTCATAGTATGTTAATTCAGCAGTTGCCTACGCTGTGCACATCAGTGTTGTTATGGGATTAATGGTGTAAGCGTGTTCTCTGTATGTGGTTCTCCTTTATCACTTTAATCATTACACTCTTAATTGTTGGTTGCAGCCTCGATTTGATGGACTTCACCTCGGCTGTATAAGGTCTATCTCCTTCGCACAGCTGCAGAACTACTCATTTAAAACCTCCCTTTATAATAAACATGCTCCTGAAGAGACATTATTAGCCACATGGACCCACATCTCCTGTAAGACCCTCAGTCCTCACTCCCGTACATTTGGCTGGGTAACGTATCGTTGAAGCTGTTTATCGAAGGAGGAACCGCAATACTTCCCCGCGGGTTAATTTTTCACAGTGTTATCTCAGTTCCCCAGCCCACTCATCGCCCTCCCCCGAGGCAGCCTTTTCACAGTATACGAGCCACCTGGCATGGCTCAGCTCCGTGTCAGCAGTGAGTCCCTCCCAGGGCCAACGTGTCATCTCATGCTAGCTTCTCAGACCTCCTCTTATAGACTGCCTTGAAGCATGACCAGGGTGTAAAGGGGGCCACATGTGTTTACTTTGTTATGTGTGTGTAGCTCCATATGCAGGGCATTTGTATGTGTCTGAAGATTCTGTCATTATTATACTTTATTGTACATCTGTGCAATGGTAATAAAAGGCATTCTATCCTATTCATTCGATTCTAAGAAGCATGGCATTCTTCCCATACACACCCAAACTCCTAATCAATAGTTCCATTCATTTCACTTGATTTAGTTTAGGTGTGACCTGCATTTGCTGTGGTGTGATTTCAGGCACACTAAGTGACTAATCTTCTGATTAATTGTGGATGCCGTGGTCAGCTTCCCTGCACCAGGTATTCAATGTTTCGGGAAGCTTGTAAGTTTGTCCAAATTGACACCTTCTTTTTCCATTGACCAAACTAAAGTTCACGTAATGCTCCGAAATGTTCTACAAACCTGGAAGCGGCTCACAGGATTTGGGGCAGATTTTGCATTTTCCTGGGGAATGCAGTGTTTGTGTGGAGATGCATGAACTGCTGAATTTCAGCTGACTCATCTGACTGTCTTGTAGGCAATCCAGACCTTTTTATGTTTACTGTGCAAACAGAATAAGCATAGACTCAGGGCTGCCGCAAGAGAAGCCAGCCCACAGACAGATTTCACACATCAGTTGTGACGTGTTAGCGTGGGAGTCAAACGCTGAGGAGGAATGCCTGGCTATCAGATGAACTTTGACCCCCTTTGCATTCCTGCCTCATAAAGACGTTCCGGATAATTATAGGGCATTATGATATGTCCATTCTGGGATGAAAGCATAAATCAAATGACAGATACAACAAGTAGTGTATGAAGAGGAGGCCCTGCTCTATGGCTGTGACAAGAATATCTATATACCACTGGACATGTGAACATACACTGCTCTCTTCTGTTATTATACACATAGTAACATCCGGGAAAAGTATGGTTACAGTATGTTACCAATTGTTAAATGCTGTAATAGTATGTAAGAAAGACTTCACTGAGTTTCAAATACTGTAACTGTATATTTGTAAGTGTTAAATATTCTAACAGTATGCTAGTGGGTGTTAAAGACTGTAACAGTATGTTACTGAGGTAAATTCCTTAACAGTATGTTAGCGAATGTTGCATACTGTGACAGTGTGTTAGAGAATGTTAAAGACTGTAACAGTATGTTACCAAGTATTAAATGCTGTAACAGTATGTTTGCAAGTTTTAAATACTGTAATGTGTTATAGAGTATTACTTACTGTAACACAGCGGTATTCCAAATGCAGGGTATGTCCTGCTGGTGGGGCAGAAAGGAACTGCAGGGAAATCGTGAGTGAGTGAGGTGGGGGAATCGCTAATTTTGAAATTGAAACTTTCGTAAAACCATATGAACATATCATATGCCTATATGCATTGCATGACACTAAGAAATTAATTAAAATGTGTA